TCTCGTCCGGTTCCACCCATTTTAGCCCGGTTTAGCATTTTGAGTCATTTTCAGTAAATTTCCGGGAATATTTCAGTTCAGAAAATCATGTCCAAATCAGTTCAGATTAATTCAGTTCAGGTTAATCCGGATAAGTCTAAAAATCAGATTAAGTAAAATAGAGCATCTTAACGAGATTAATCAGTTAAGTTAAACAGTCTGAGCATAGTCAATAGTAATTGTTTATATTATTTTCAGTTTAGCAGGCATCAGCACTACCTATCAGTTCAGCAGTTCAGGTGGGGACTCAGACTAAGTACTACATTGTTTATAATTGCTCTACCATGTTCGAGGTATGTATTTTCAGTAACCGCTCGGGATGGTCGCCGGTCCAATCTGAGTTCTAGTGGCCTTATCTAACCACTAGAGTGTGCACATGGTCCGGTATTAGTTTGTGCGGGGAGATAGCGGCATTAGTTTGTGCCGAGCGGCATTAGTTTGTGCCGAGCAGATTCAGTTACGTGACTTCGGTCGCGAGTACGTGACTTCGGTCGTGAGTTCAGACCGGTATCAGTTCAGTTCAGATATATATGCTTAGTTCATGATATTGTTATTATTTACGATGTTTTACATTAGTATGAGTTTCCACGGAGCACAGTGCTTAGTGCTCACTCCCCAGTTTTATCTTATTTTTCAGGTCAGCAGGTCGTGCCGGGAGTGTGACGTGACGGAGCAGATCGGGACTTTCAGGATATTCATATATATGTTTTGGACTGTATAACTATAACTTACGCTTCCGCTTACTTTTGACGATCTTTTGACGATGTTTTGATACATTTTGTCGAATTTATCGTATTTTGACGAACTTTTCAGAAAACACAGTTTTTCAGTAACCGGACGTTTTTAATAAGTTAAAACAACGGTTTTCTAAAGTTAAGTAACGATTTTCACGGTAGCACCCCAAATCAGTTTCGCAAAGTAAAAATGTTTTAGTTTTCAAAGACTTTGCGAAGAAATGCGCAACTCTGATTTATCTAATAAGGTGGGGTGTTACACAGTGCAGCATAAAAGGCCATCCCATTGGAGAGAACTAAGCTTCCAGCAATTGATGGATCTGCTACAAGTAAAGAAACATGTGCTCCAAGGATTCAACAGCTTCACCACAGATAGAACAAGTGGTGTCCAAGTCAATGCCTCTCTTATTCAGTTTAGTAGCTACAGGCAGGGATCCAGAGATGCATTTCCAGATAAAATGCTTGACCTTGCCTGAAATTTTCAATTTCCAATGTCTGAATGAGATGGAATTCTTGGTAATAGAAGAAGAGCTGCATTCTGGGATGTCCAAACTTTGGATCTTGAGAGACATGAGGTGTGAGTAAGTCTGGGAAACAGAAAAGCAACCCTTTGTATTCAAGCCCCAATACAAACTGTCATCTCTGCTGGGGGAAAGAGAGGATATATTCAGGATTGCATTGCTATCAACTTCATCAAAAACTTGCCTCACCAACCAGTCATTCCAGTGAGTGCCTTCATCATTCATTAAATCTTTAACCCAGATCAAATGATATGTAGCAATAGGAATGAGAGAGTGGTTGGGTCTACTATGATTAAGAATCCAGTTCAGATCAGATATTCTGGTGTTCATGCCATTTCTGATTTCAATTTTTAACCATTTAGCAAAGAAAGGTATGTTGTGCATCCAGCAATTCCACATCCATGATCCACTGCGATTTCTAGAGGCATTAACCAGAGTAGAGTTAGAGTAGTACCTGTCCTTGAGGATTCTGCTGACTAGAAGCTCTGGATTTGAGGCAATCCTCCACAGTTGTTTACAGATCATTGCTTTATTGAACAGCTGGAGGTCAAGGAAAGACAGACCACCATTTTCTTTAGGGAGGGAGAGGTAATTCCAATTTCTCCAATGGATTTCTTTAGCCTAATCAGTTCCAGATTTCCACCAAAACTTTGCACATAAACTTGTAATTTCAGAGCAGATTGACACTGGCAAGGTGAAACAAGCCGTTGTGTAGACTAGAAGAGCTTGGATAATAGCTTTGAGAAGGACTTCCTTGCCAGCTGGGCTAAGAAACTGAGATTTCCAAGAGGTAAGCTTAGCTCTGACTGAGTTCACTAAGTAAGCAAAAACTTCCTTTTTAGACCTGCCAATCCCCTGTGGCAATCCCAAGTATTTAGTTGACCTGTGAGAAGCAATATTGTTCAAGGAGCTGCAGATTGATCTTTTAAGATGGAGGGGTGTATTTCTACTGAAAAAGACAGCAGATTTTTGGAGATTAATTGCTTGACCAGAGAAAAGTCTGTATTGCTCCAGAATGTTCATAAGAAACCCAGCTTGGTTTACCCTAGCTTTAAGGAAAAACAAAGAGTCATCTGCAAAGAGAATATGAGACAGCACAGGCCCATTTCTGGAAAGTTTCATCCCTTTAAGCATACCAGAGGAAATTGAGTTTAGAATGAGAGCAGTGAGCAATTCAGTGACAATAAGAAAGAGGTAGGGGGATAGAGGATCCCCCTTCCTAATTCCCCTTGAAGGTAATACATAACCACTGATGCTTCCATTAATCTTGAAAGAGAAAGAGGCAGAAGTAACACAGATCATAACAAGCTTCACAAAATCACTATGGAACCCCATTTAAAGCATAATTTTCTTTAGGCAAAGCCATTCAACCCAGTCAAAAGCTTTAATAAGATTTAACTTGAGGGCCATGAAAGCATTAGGACCAGAGGAGTGCCTGTTTAGGAAATGGAATGCTTATTGGGCAATTATCACATTGTCAGTAATTTGTCCTGATGTTCACTGATGCAATGTGGCAAGCAGGCCTTGAGTCTCTGTGCTAAGATTTTGGATATGAGCTTGTAGACTACACTACAAAGACTTATTGGCTGGAATTGACTCAAATTATCCAGGTAGTGACATTTGGGAACAAGGGATAGAACAGTGTGATTCCAATATTTGAGGATAGTACCTGTGTGGAAGAAACTGTGGACTGCCTTCATGAGGTCAGATTTGATTAAACTCCAGAAGTGTTGATAGAATGCAGCTGTCATTCCATCCTCACCGGGGGATTTATCAGGCAGAAAACTGAACAAGGATTGTTTGACTTCATCTTCATCAACAGGTTTGAGGAGGGCAGTGTTCATGTCTTGAGTTATGGTCTCTTGAATTAGATGGAGAATGGATTCCCCACCCCAACTGCCCTCAGTAGAGAATAGATTAGTATAGAACTCAGAGATATGGGACTCAAGCTCAGTCTGAGAGGAGTAGACTCTGCCTTGGTTTGAGATTAGCCTGGTTATTGCATTGAGTTTTCTCCTCTGGAGAGTATAGGCATGAAAGAACTTGGTGTTGGCATCCCCTTCTTTTAACCATCTGCACTTAGCTTTTTGTTGCCAATGGAGTTCCTCCAAAGAGTGTGCCTTGTTCAACTTCCTTTTTGTCTCTTCCCAGATTTCCCAGTTTGTCCCCTTGTCACTAGTATTGAGATCTTCCATTCTCTGATTAACTTCAGATATTTCTTTCTGCCTTGTGGATTGAAAAGAAGAACTCCAGATGAGGATAGCAATCCTGGTATTCTTGACCCTCTCCTTAAGCTGAAAAAAAGGGGTACCAGTGACTGGGGATTTCCAAGCAACAGTGACTATATCATTAAAGCCATCCATGCTTAAACATCTTTTATCAAAGTGAAAGGGAGCCTTTCTTTTCATTTGAGGAGGTCCCAAGTTCAAGAGAAGAGCAGAATGGTCTGAAGAACTTCTGGGGATATTGGATACAGCTGCATTGGGGTAAGAATGAGACCAGTCAAGAGAGCCAAAGGCTCTATCCAGATTTTTCTCTACCAGAGCAGGGGGAGCTTTGTTGTTACTCCAAGTAAAAGCATAGCCATTTGATTTTATTTCCAGCATGTCCATTTTCAGATACAAAAGAGTTAAAACCCAAAAGGCTAAGGGTTGGTCTGTTGGTTCCACCTGATTTCTCTGAATTTGAGAGGATGTCATTCCAGTCACTAATAGAAAACCAAAGAGATCCCTATTTCTGTTTGGCAGCCAATATTTCCTCCCTCTTATTTTCTCTGATCACTTTGCAAGGACTAAGATAGACAAAAATTCCCCATTGGAGGGGATGGGGTTGCAGCTGGAATTCAACAGCAATGAAAAATTTTTCACAGATAATTTGATTAATGACAATGTGAGTATCCCACAACAAAACAAGCCCCCCACAGAGGCCTACTGGATCGACTATAGCAACCCTATTATCAAAACCTAATTTTTTAAAAACCGAATATACAAAAGCAGATTGTTTTTTAGTTTCTGAGAGGAAGATAAAATTTGGATGGTGAGCTTTCTTGAGCTCTCTGATTTGGGAAATTGTAGAGGGCCTACCCAGCCCTCTACAATTCCACACCAGAGCTAACATTTATCAGGGTGGTGCCATTCGAGGCTGGCAACCCCCACCATTTTCGAATTAGCTTTTTGCTTTTTAGCTTGAACCTGATTTTGAGTGTTGGAGTCCTCTGTGTGATCTGTTGGCTCCAAGACTTGCCTGTCTCTCTTTCCTTTAGAAACTTGATCAATAATAATGGGAGTTTCAATGCTTCTGAGAAGCCTGCCCATCCTTGTGCCTGTTCTTCTCCAAGGTTTTAGAGGCTGAGATTTAGAGATTTGAAAGGATTTTTCCGGTAAAGAGAGTTCTGTGACTGGAGCTGAGTCTCCTGTTTCTACTTCCATGATAGAGGATTCCACAATCTGCAGATTGGCTACTTCATGTTCCTCTTCTTCAGCTCTGCTTTGGTTGGCTGAGACTACAGATGGTGCCCCAATTGATTTAGCCGGAGATTCTGTGTTCCCTATACTGGGAATAATTTGATTCTAATCAGCACAATGGCTCGATGAGGCTCTTTGGGAGGTGCCATTGTCTGTAGCTATTGGGGATTCTGGAGGTGGAGATGATTTAGAACCAGATAAACTGTAAGTGCCCCCTCTAAAGCCATCAGATGCCCTCAACCAATCACCATATTGCCCCTCTTGGAGGGAGTTGTTTCTAATATCCTCCATTTTTTTGAGACATCCTCTCTCCAAATGACCCAATTTTCCACAATAGTGGCATAGGTTGATGAGTTTCTCATACTTAAATCCAACATTAACTAGTTGGTTTCCAAGTCTGACCTTAGCCATTATGGGAAGAGGCTCATCCACATTCAAAGTGACAAGGAGCTTAATAATCTTACCCCCATGATTCCCCGTAGTTGCAATTACCACATTCTTAACTTTATTGAAGGCCTGTCCTATCTTCAATCCCACCTCGGTGCTAATCCAGTTTAGAGGAATATTTTGGACCTGCACCCATAGATTGAGCTCTTGAAATCCTGGATGTTTGCTGTTGATACTCGCATCCCATTCCTTAAGAATAATGTACTAATTCTCAAAGCTCCAATTTGTGCCATTGGCTACCTTCTTCATATCATCACGATTCTGGAATATGAATTAGAAATAGTTTGGGCAGAGTTCTTTAACCTCCATGGGATGATTGAGCTTCCATATCTGCGACATTGCACGTTTTATACCAATCCAACTCGCTGGTCTATCTTCGATTATTTTCCCGAACAGGCTTCTATTGCATTCATCATTACTGAGTTTGATGTCACCCTGCGCAATATCAAAGATTTTGGCTTCATTAGTAGAGAATGAGACTTTATCTAAACGATCTGAGAGCTCCTGATCGAAGTCCGCCATAGAACCCCTAAAAACCCTCGATCGAAACAAGAAAAAAGAAAACAGACGCTTAGCAGAGATGAGCAGATTGAGGAGCTGCTAAGATATTAGAGGAGGAACAGATAGGGACAATTACTCGCACAAATAACCAAGAATCAAAGATGAAACGACAAAAGATTTACGCTCTCAAAGAGAGAATCATGGGGGTGAGAGGGGACGCGGGCTGCGCGCGGGCTAGTATCGGGCCTTATGGCCCGCGCGCTGGAGCTGGTACCCACTTAAAAAAAATATGCTATTACACACAAGGCTGACGTTCGAACCCAGGACGCCACGAACAGAAGTTAGCATACCGCACCACTGCGCCAAACATCTAGACAATAACTTTAAGGAAACATTTTAAATAAAACGAAGACTGCAAGTTATGATTTTGGACGCACAGAATACTCCAAATTATAACCCAAGTATCCAGAGGTCGAAAATATATTTATCGAAACTGGGTTTGATTGAGAAAATGAAACGACCAAAATAACGCAAAATGAACGACATGGCTCGAACGACCCGAACAACCTAACGAAGACTCGAAATAACAATACGAGATTCTGAACTTATACACTTTTATCCTAGCAACATAACGATACTCTATTTTACGGAATTGAGAGTTCCAATAATCCAAGAAAATTCACGAACATTCGAAATAATTAACGAACATACAGATCAACAAATAAACTGAAATCGAAACCCGACGAAACGATTCAACGTGAGCGAAAATAAACGAAATAATATTATACTGAACGACAATCATCGAGAGGGTTTCGAAAAGGATACCCGTCTTTGTGAATATCGGAAAATTGGGTTGAACGAACGACCGACCGACGGATGAACAAGGAGGAACTGAAGCCTCAAAATCCTGGAACTCCTCGAATACGTCTCTGCTCGCGAATAGAAGGACGTCACCGGAGGGCTCGCTCTCAAGGATCTGCGCGCGATTTGCTGGGGCTGATCACGGAGGTGCTGCAACGAACCTGCTTGAGGGGTGGGGATGATGATGGCAGAGAACGCGCAATTCTGCTGATCATGGTGATGGAGGTTCGGTGATGATGATGATGATGAATGATCGATAGCTTGTGGTGAGAGATGGAGGGATATATTTGCAGAGGAAAAAAAAAATTTGAAGTATCCTGTTTTGCGTTGTGTGGTGATGAGCAATTATAAGGGAAGAGAAATATTTTACACCTTGCAACGGCTAAACAATTATATTACCATAATTGTAATATAATTAGACTTAACTCAATTTTTTAAATGGACATCATGATTTAAAAAAAATAGAAAACGGTTATGGGTTTATGGCCGGTTCGGGTGCGACTTCACTGCTCACGGGTCGGATTTTTTCGGTTCGATACTTACGATATTTCGGGCTCGGTTCGATCAAACGGTAAATTAAAATAAAACTGGAACATAAATATTTATATATATATAATACACAATAATTATTAATATATAATAATTATATATAATACACACAAATAACATTTATTTAATAATAATAATATACATTTAGACATTTGATAATATTTAGGCATTTAACACAAATAATAATAATAATAATAATAATAATAATAATAATAATAATAATAATAATAATAATAATAATAATAATAATAATAATACTAATAATATTAATAACAATAAAAATAATAATAATAATAATAATAATAATAATCAATTAGGCAATTAGACAGTAAATTAAATAATAATTCTAATAATGCAAAATAATTAATTTCAAATAATCCATAATAAACGGGGTATTACAGTCTATCCACCTTACAAAGAATTTCGTCCTCGGAATTCGAAAATAAAACTAGAAAGCAGTAAAATATAAAGAGAAACTCAGAACTCAAAGTTCGGATAGTGCCTCTTAAGCTCGGCCTCCTTTTCCCAAGTCAACTCCGACTCGTCATGTCGGCTCCAAAGCACCTTCACCAAGCTCACTGCCCGGTTCCTCAACTGATGGACCTTCTGGTCCAATATGGCTACCGATACCTCTTCGTAGGTAAGGTCTCGCTCGACCTGCAGTTCGCCGAAGTCCACCACGTGAGTGGGATCATACACGTAACTCCGCAACGTAGAGACGTGAAACACGTCATGCACTCCCGACAAGCTAGGTGGTAAAGCCAGCCGATAAGCCAAATTCTCGACTCGGGAAAGGATCTCTAATGGCCCAATATAACTCTATCTAAGCTTCCCCTTCTTCCCGAAACGAATCACGCCCTTCATAGGTAAAACCTTCAGGAAGACATGATCTCCGACGACATACTCGTGCACATCCCTCTTCCGGTCGACATAGACTTTCTGCCTCTCTTGAGCTGGCCGGATATGCTTTCGGATAGCTTCAACTATCTCCGCAGCACTAAGAATGAACTCCGGACCCATGATCTTTCTCTCCCCGACCTCATCCCAATACAAGGGTGTTCGGACCTTACGTCCATACAAAACCTCGAATGGGACCATCTTGATCGTGGAGTGGTAGCTATTGTTGTAAGTCAGCTCAACCAAAGGCAAGGCACTCTCCCAGGTTAGGCTACAATCTAAGACCACAACCCTTAATATGTCCTCCAAGTACTGGATCGTCCGCTCCGACTGACCATCTGTCTGAGGATGAAAAGTTGTACTAAACTCCAGCCTCATCCCCATGGCCCGGTGCAGAGTCTTCCAGAACTGACTAGTGAACTTCGCGTCTCGATCAGACACGATCTCCACGGGAACTCTATGAAGTTTGACAATTTCGTCCATGAACAACTCGGCTTGCTGACTAGCCTTCATAGTCGTTCGGACTGGCAGAAAGTAGGCAGACTTTGTAAGGCGATCCACAATCACCCAAATGGAATCATGACCGGCCCTCGACCTCGGCAATCCCACTAAGAAATCCATGGTGATGCACTCCCACTTCCACAAAGGAACCTCAAGTGGCTGTAACTTCCCTCTCTGTTTCTGATGCTCAGCCTTCACTTGCTGACACACTAGGCACCCATTTATGAAACTCGCCACTTGCCTCTTCATACCTCGCCGCCAAAACGACTTCCTCAAGTCCTGATACATCTTCGAGCTACCAGGATGGATGGTGTACGGGGCACTATGGGCCTCTCTTAAAATCTCCTTTCGCAGTTCCCATACCTTTGGAACACATAGTCTACCCTCGAAGACTAATGCTCCATCAGATGCAACTGCAAAGCCTCCAATCCGACCGCTAATCGCCAACTCTCTCATCCGGCACAGAAAATGATCATTCGGCTGCTCAGCGACTATCTTCTCTCGAAGAGTCAGTCCCACAACCAAAGAGGTCAACATACCCCCGGCTGTCGGATTCGGCTCTATTGCCTCTAGCTGTAGCCGCTCGAACTCCCGAAGAAGGACATCTTGCTCGGTGAAAAGACAGGACAACTGGCCATAACTCCTTCGAATAAGGGCATCGGCTACCACGTTAGCTTTCCTAGGATGGTAGCTAATCGTGCAATCGTAGTCCTTGACCAGTTCCAACCACCTACGCTGCCGCATATTCAGCTCCTTTTGAGTGAAAATATACTTTAGGCTCTTGTGGTCGGTGAAAATCTCACACTTGCTTCCATAGAGGTAGTGCCGCCAAATCTTCAAGGCATGAATGACTGCAGCTAACTCAAGATCATGAGTGGGGTATTTCTGCTCGTGAGGCTTCAGCTGCCTCGAAGTATAGGCTATGACCCTCCCCTGTTGCATAAGAACACATCCCAAACCCATCTTCGAAGCATCACTATAGATCGTGAACTCCAAAGTAGGATCGGGTATCCACAGAACGGGCGCAGTAGTGAGTCTAATCTTTAACTCCTGGAAACTCTTCTCACACTTTTGACTCCAATCGAACCTCACGACCTTCTTCGTAAGGTTGTTTAGTGGCTGGGCTATCTTCAAGAAGCCCTCAATAAACCTCCTGTAGTATCCTGCTAACTCCAGGAAACTACGAACATCAGCGACACTTCTTGGTGTATCCCACTTGCTCACTGCCTAAATCTTGCCGGGATCCACCTCAATGCCTCGGGCTGTCACAATTTGG